TGTATATTGAAGTCATAAAGACTAGGGCTTAATCGATCGAAGAAAGAGGAAAGGGCAATTTTGTAAAGTAATATATAATTTTGATTATTAGATAAAAAAAATTTAACAAAACATTGATATAATTATAATTAAAATATGATTTTGGATATGTATGTATTTATAGTTTTGGATGGATATAGGTGTAATTTTAAAGTTTACAATGATACTGAAGTAATATTTAGAGTTTGTAAGGATATATATGAAATTTTCCCTAATTACGGCGGTTCGGTTTAATTTTTGACCATCGGTTTCCAAGGTAAAACCGCACCAAACCGAATTTGATTGTTTTTTGCCAAATTAAAAACAACACTGCTGGCTTTTGTACCAGTTTTGGTTTTTCGTCTTCGGTTTGTTGCGATTATTTTCAATTTTTTTTATAGGTTCGGTTCTTGTTTACTCCTAATTTGATCACATAATTTTATTTATTTTATACCAATCTAAGTGATCACATAACACAAAAAGGGTATCGTCAAATACAAAAACATAAAGTATTATATTTTGGTCGTCATTGAACGGCTTATAAAATGTTTCATCCACGATATGGTGGCATACCAGGCTATAATTTACAAGAATTTTATATTTAGCAGCTTTATTACATAACTCAAAAAGTTTCAAGTTCCTTGTATTAGCCCTACGTGGAATGCACATGAAAAAATGGTTAGATGTTGAAATGTTTAGTGAGTCATTTTTTTTTTGAACAGCAAAAAAAACAGCTATCTTAACCAATATTTCTTTTCATGATCATTCCACCAACTGGCCTATTTATTTATTTATTTATTTGAATAGTAAAAAGAAAAAGCTATATTAACCAAAAACTAACTAGATGCCAGATGAATAAGAAATTCTTACCATTCCTTTTCATGATTATTCCACCAATTGGCCCAAATTACATTTGTACCATTCCTAGTTATAGTCTTCATCCAGTAAGTCATGTTTTTTAATAATATCCTAAAAATAAAAATAAATATCCCACATAAAGAACTTAGTAATCTAACCTTTATAAATGACTTATTTGACAAAATTAACCTTTTTTTTGTAAAGTAACTACATTGTTCGGAACACATTGTTCCGAAGAGATCTCTGGAATTCCGGAATACGATTCCGGACCATGGTTCCGAAATACATTTTACTTTTTTTTTCTCCATGTAACATGTGATACTTCTTTTAGTATAAGTTTTGTTTTTTTTTTTCATGTAATATGTGGTTCTTCTTTTAGTATAAGTTTTGCTTTTATAAAATATACTATAAGTTTTGGTTTTATAAAATGTAATGCAATTAAAATCAACAGATAACTAATAAATACATAAACTAAAGGGATGTGTCTTTAAGTGATATTACAAAAACAATCTTCAAATAATCACTCACATTGTAACCCAAAAAATTTCCGCTAGTCGTTTCCGATAACCCATAGCCCATGGATTAGTTTTACCCTCTATAAAAATCAATTTCCCGGTGATCAATGCCTCCAGGAACCAACACAAAAACACTCCACAATCCCTTTTGCTATCAATCTGTTGTGGTACGTACGTCTGTGGCCTTTTCGAGGGTTATATTGAAGCTCTTAAGTGGGATTGAATAAGTTGGTTCAATACCCCAGTAGTTGACTCCCACTAGCAGTCTGTGGATACGGGCTCTCATACCTATAAACCAATCTTCATTTTCTGAATAGTAGCCACCCTTCCAGTGACTATCGTATAAAGTCAATTTGAATGTCTTCAAATCCAAAGCACCCAAAAATCAATGAGCATGTGGTATATTGGTTGGGATTTAAAGCTACAAAAGGTTATAAATACTTAATTAGTATATAAGTACTCATGTAATGTAATCCAAACAAAATTATACCGTATCACAGTCTACCCAAGCTGGGTAAAAGGATCCGTCAGCTATGTCACTCCAGTCAAATGTATCAGTGTTGAAAGTTGACGGCACAACCGTCCACCGAGCATCATCCGCTCTACGCTCTAGCAGCAATGAGATCCACATCATGATGTGTTGCCAATAATATTTTTTTTTACAGTAAAGTAAGTATTGTTAATAGAAATGCAATATGTCATGAGCACATAATTATATTACTTACATCACATGACAACCATCCCCCATGACTATCCGCATTTAAGCGTGTCCAAAACTCAATCTTAGCAAAATCGGTTAAATAAATGTGACTAAACAACAACGAACCATCCCGTTCTTTATATACATTGTGTATGGTAGGTTCGAAAAGATTGTCCAACGGTGCTAGTTGTTGCCGTGTAACATATTTCCTCTTCATTTGTATCCATGATGACTTATACCATATGGACATAACTTTTTGGTGCTCAGAACGCCTAAGAGGTGCTGGCGATGGTGTTTTGTATTCATCCCGCAAAATCTCTTTTACATTCGACGATTAGATACACAGAGACCACTACTCAGGGTCATCATTCAACGACTATTAGAGTGTGCCTAACACATAATCATGCTCCCATAAGTCATCGTCATTGTAGTTTGTGGTACCAACATCTGGCACGATGAGTGCATGTATGATTCAATAATGTTTACTTGTAAACGATGCAAAAACATAACGACCAAAACGATGAAATAATTAACAATGTACCTCCACCCCCTTCGAGGTACCAACATCGTCTCCGAGAGTCTTATTGATAAGTTTTAGAACCATGGATAAAGTAGCGTCATGCTCTGCTAAACACTTATCACGTGACCTTAACTGCTCGCGACATTCCTGAGCTCATGTTGCAAGTGACAGACCTCGTTTTGCAAGTCGCTAATAATTTGGTCCTTTTCAGTTGATGGGTCAGCGGCCGACGCTAGTGGTGGTGGCAGGTGAGATGGAACATCTATATGTTCCTTCTTTTGTCGAGGCTTATAGGTAGGGGAGTTTTTGCGTGACTATGTTAGTGAAGGTGCCATGTGAACTTCAGTGTCGTGAAAATCAGGACGATCAATCCATGTCGAGCTAACTATCCACCATTCAACACGCATCTCAGCTTCTGTTGACTCCAACTTCTGTAGAGTCTATTATCCTGCTAACAAAATTATAAAATTAAAAATAAACATAAATTATAAAAAAAATTTAATAATTAAGTAACCATACATCGTCGATTGGTAAAAACTGGTTGCAGTGAGTCTTTTGTAAAGGCCTCAGTGTTGACTATGCAACAACCCGAGAGATCACATTCTCTTGTCGGATACCAAACAAAATGCTCACAAAAAAGTCTCAAGTATACATATCTGAATGTTAGCAAACAAATAAAAATTTGTTATAATGTTAGCAAAAAAACCTTAAAAGAGTATAAAAACTTGTTTAGGGTGTATGTCATTTTTTGAGGTTGTTTCTCTTTCGGTTCGTCCCGATGTATATGCTTGTCAACCTTATTGAATACAATAACTAGTTTTTTGTACAATTGATCCCAAATTACCCCCCTCATGGATATCTGCCACATAAAAAATTAATTAACAATTAAATTTCTAAAAAATATTAGTAACGATAAGTAATTATAATAATCAATTATAAAATAGACGACATTATACCTATTGAAGTCATCAAGGTTGGATAGCAAAGCGAAATACTCTTCTGTAACAGGCTTTTTAGGCAATTGCCCATCGAAACCCTCCTCTAACAGGTATAGAAGACATACATGGACTGCATCTTCGTCCGATACCTCATTAAGTGAATTTTTTAAACATCGTCTAATTTGAACGAGACATTCCTAGGGACCATAGGAAAGCCACAAGAACGGAAGGCGGCGCCGGGTGTAGAAGAAGGAAAATAGTCATCAACTGGAAGCCAGTGATGAGACAAAAAATTTTCTTCTCGAAAGACAGCTCGTAACCCCCAATCTCAAAAACCATTTCCTCTACTTGGCTTCGGGGGTCCGTGACAACTTCGTGGCAAAAGAAGTAATGTAGAAGCAAAGGGTCCCCATCTACATTAGGAATGTCTAACCACCTCCCAAAACATGTATTTCGAAACATAGTCTCGCATTCGGGTCTGTCTCTAAATGCCGCAAAAAATTGCCCGCAGATTTTAGGTTTATAAGACAATGTAATGGATGCATCAAAAACCCTATCGCGCCGCACAAATAAAAAATGTGTTATCACTTCATTCCGAAACGAAAACTGACCAATATTTCAGACCAGTTCCTTGTGTTCCGGACCAATTCCTTATGTTCTGAAACAGTTCCTCGCATTCTGGAGGCTTCCAGAATGAAATTTTAAGATCTAGAAGAATACATTTTGATGTAAATTAACAATACCCAAACATCTAAACTACTTTTCAGTTGGTCCTACAACAATGACATTTGTAATTTAAACTATGGACCGTTTTCAGTTCATTCTGGAGGTGTTCTACGTATTCCGGAACAATAATTGTAGATGAATAAGCACGTTATACAAATAAGCAAACTAGGTTTTTGAAGTGAATAACGGGGTCGTAGTGGTCTTTTTCCATGTTGGAGTTGCGTTTCAGAGATCGGAGTTGCGTGTCAGAGATCGAAATCAGGATCAAGGTCGTATGTCAGAATCGAATGGGAAAGTCGAAGCAAGATGCGGAATGAAGTCGAGGGTCCGAATTTTGTCAAATTACATTCCGGAATTTGAATTTCGAATTCCCAATCCGGAACACGGACTGTTAGTCCGGAATGGGAATTCCGGAAGTAAGGTAATGAGTCGGCCCACCCGAAAATAAGTTCAAAATATGTTACATAATACCTCATTCCAGTCCAAATGATCATTTAAAAAAAATTATATTTTTAAAAAATACCCAAAAAAATGGTTATATTACTCAATTTCCCTATCAATATAACTATTTGATGCATAAAATATTAAAATGACATGTATTGTCGATTGTGAACTCAACTCTTATGTCATGCACCACCAAGTTGAGGGACTAAAACGTAATTGTTGAAACTCATTCCCATTCTTCCATCCCTTTTTAAACCTCTCTTCGGAAAAACTTTCATTTCTGCCCCTTTCTTTGCGCTTCACTCACTCACAGAGCAGTTGAACACGTTTCTCAGTGTGTGTTTTCTTCAAATTAAGATCATTAGAATCGTATACAGCATCCATCAATGGCGGTAGGATTGGGCGTAAATGATTTCATAGCTTGCTGTGGAAGCACAAAATTTGCGGAACAAATGGTAGCCGATGGACCTTTTGATACTTACGACAAAGCTGTTGTCGCAGCCAAGAACATCTGGTTCAATAAGGTCTGTATATTCTTCTGTGTTTTTATGTATAATCTATTCGATCGGATCTTGATTTTGATGGATATAGTGACCACAGGTTGATGTACATGGTTGGCTCGAAGCATTTGCTGCCCATCCCCAAATTGGGCAAAACCCTTCTTCAGTTGCTAACAAAAGTTCCACAAGTGCTCAGTTAGCTCTCTTTTTCTCTACTTTCGATTAGATAACAACCGATTGATTATTTCTTGCTGGATCATCTCAAAACTTCTGATCACATTTATTAAGAAATCTGCTTGATAAAATTTGGAAGCTTCATCTTTTGAGATATGAAATATCCTTGATTTTATGTTTTGAATTTTGATGGGGTACAATGGACAGATTTCAACCTGGAAATTGATCTGAATCATAGATTTCCAATGTCTTTTCGATAACTATGTTGACCTTCATAACAAAATCGTACAAATAGAAGTTTGTTGGTTCAAATTGACATGAAACTTTATGTAATTAGGACATCAACAGTAAAGAGTTAATGAATAGTAGAAAGAAGATCCATGGAGGCAATCTTATTGCTTTCTCTGTTTGTAGGTGGAGCAAGGGGGAGCAATCCACTGCTCTAGCCACTGCAACCGATTCTAGTCTACAGGTATCTTTATGTCAAATCCAATGCTATTTATATTACCTTTGTTTAATCATTCACAAATCGTGAATATAAACATTAAGGTACATGAGTACATCGTCATTTGGTACTGCTTACAAATATATATAAATCGGATTCCTTATGCAGGAACTATATGAATGGAATTCTCAATATAAGCAAAAGTTTGGCTTTGTTTTCCTTATATGTGCATCTGGAAGAAGTACTCCAGAAATATTGGCTGAGTTGAAGGTATATATACCCGTATTTCTTCCAAATATTCTTACATTGCTTCTAATACAGTGCTTTCTTTTCTTCATGATGAGCTATCTCATGTCTATAAATATAAATATATATATTAACATTGTGTGGTTGACTTATTGACTTTTCTTATGATATGTATTACTGTTGTAGAGACGTTTTTCAAACAGGCCGATTGTTGAGTTTGAGATTGCAGCCCAAGAACAAATGAAAATAACTGAATTACGCCTTCAAAAGCTTTTCTCAAATGTTGATGTCACCAAAGCAGAAGGTAATATTATATTATTTCACAACTTTGTCTTTTTTAATTTATTTTAAAAAGTTTGGAAGTCCATTCATATTCATCTTTTTAATGTAGAAGGCCGTGTGACCATTTTAGGAGGGCACTTAACCGCTCCATCCGTACCCACACGGGTTCGCCCGCCCATCACAACCCACGTACTAGACATAGCCCGCGGGTGTCCAGCTGGCGGAATCGAAGTCCTATTGGAAGTGTACACTTCCAAAAAGTCTGGCCCGGTGTTTGGCCAATCAGGTGATGACATGTGGACATTTCAAGGCTCGTCTGCTACCGATAAAGATGGAAGAAGCGGTCAATTGATGAAAATAGTCAATGAGTTGACGCCGGGTGTATACCGAATAAGCTTCAACACGGGAAAATATAACCCGGATGGTTTCTTCCCGTTTGTTTCAATTGTTTTTGAGGTCAAAGAGTCGCAAAAAATGGAACATTTTCATGTCCCATTGTTGCTTTCTCCTTTTTCATTCTCGACCTATAGGGGTAGCTAGGTGTCTCTTTATGTTATTGAATGTTGTTAATGTGTAAAAGTATCTTGTTATTTCTTGCGTTTCCCTTTGTGACACTTTGTTATCATGGGTTTGGGATGATTAAGTTTGTATGCCATCATTGTTATTATAAAAATAATATTTTGTATTCACAAAAACGTATTTTTAACCTTTAATGATCCGATTGTCCCATTTAATGGCCTCTAGATTAAATAAAACAAAAAGATAAGGTCAAGCTTAAAGCACTCCTATATTTACTATGTTCCAACACTTTGTCATTAGCCACAAAACATCCGCTTCTAATTTAGGAAACATTCAAATGAATATATATACATATAACTTACATATATTTTTGTTGAATGTCCTATCTCTATATTACAATTTTGACTTTTGAAATCAAGAAAGTTGTTAAAATGCAAGCTATCAAAGAAAAGATCAGCGATATCCGAGGGTTGCGTAAGTCAAAGTCCGACACCAGAGAAGAACAACATCAGGTACGGTTGTTTGTAAAATTTGGTTTTCCTCGATCCTCTTGTGCAAAATGATCATTTTGTGATTAGACAAAAATTATATAAACTTTATGATTATGAAAGTACGGATAATAACATTATTAAGTATGTAAATGGAAAAAATACAATAACGTTTTATCTACTTTACCTTTTTATGGTATAATCTTTAAACATTGGCATGTATTATCTTTTAACATAATTGTATATATCTTTTTGTAATTTGTAACAATATGTAAATATGGGCGCGTTTTTGTTAATTCTTATATTAAAAACAAATTCGAGTAAATTATAGTTTTGGTCCTATGGTATACATCTTTTTACAGGTTCAGTCCTAGTTTTGTAAGTTCGACACCACTAATCTTCATGGTTGGCAAATCCATCAATTTTGGTTTCTATCCCACTTACCGTCAATGTCATTCTTTTAAGTACGTATGAAATAACTTTTTTGCCCTTGGACCAAACTTAGTAAAACTGAAAATTTTCATGGGAGAATTCTATAATTGAGTTTAGGAATAAGAATCTTAAATTTTGAATTAGGCCCCCATTGTGCTCCCAACTTCCATCCCCTCACGACCTCTAAACCGACATCGATGTGCTTCTCCTCTGGCCACCAATAAACCTCCGTACGTCGTGACTATCACCTTAGCAACACAACGGATGCCAAATTTCCATCTTGATTATGATTTAATTTTAGGTTGAGAAATTCTTTTTTGTTTTGATTTAGTTTAGGGATTTCAATTTGGTTATGATCTATGGTTTAAGTGGTGGTGGATGGCATTTTTAAGTGGTGGTGGGGGGTCGGTGACAACAGTGGTGGAGTCAATGGTAATAGGTAGAGGTCGATGAAATCAATGACGAGTCTAAGATTCGGGGGTGGGGTTTAGGGATTTCAGTTTGGTGGTGATGATTGGTGGTGGTGATGTTGATAGTTGAGATGGTTGTGGTTGTTGGTGAGTCCGAAGCGACATTGGTGGAGCCTATGGTTTTAGTGGGGCCTATTAATTAATTTAATAAATAATAATTCAAAAAACAAGGAAAAGACAAAATAAGGCCATCCTGTATACTCTCCATGCCAAGGGTCGTGGAGAGCTTCCAAATCAGCCACCTCAGGCCACCACAAATGACCGGAGTATTCTCCAATATCGGAAAGAAGAGAGAGAAGAGAAAGAAAGAAGAGAGAGAAGAAGAAGTTGGGAGGAAAGAAGAAGACCATTGGTCGTTTACAATCGTGATGCCTACCACGAAACAGCTCCTCCACGGACAGCTTTGTTGTGAGCATACCGGTTGGTCTAATAGTATCTTAATTATTTCAATATTTCATACGTACATAATATAATATAATAATACTGATAGTAACTAAGATAATAACTAAAACCGATAGATTTTGTTAAAAATTAATGATGTCAAATTTTCAAAATTAAAGTTGAACTGTAAAAAGTTATATATCATGGGAAACAAACTATAATTAGTCAACAAAATATATAGATGAAAAAAAAAACTATTATTGGAACCCATAGACATGTCGTGCCATGTTGGCAACTTATCGTTGTAGTATTTACATGTTTTACGGTTCCTTTTTTTGGGGGAAGGGATTTTCTAATATGTACTGTAAGGGCACGTATAAGAAACATATAAAAAATATCAATTAAAGTATTATTATAAGAAATATTACCATAATTAAATGTGATAAACATTAATTATATATAATATTACCATAATTAAATGTAAAATATATTAATTATAAATCATATTATTTATAATTAATATTTATCATATTTAATTATGATAATATTTTACAAAATTAACACCTTCAATTAATGCTTCTTATATGTGCCCTTAAGACACATATTAGAAAATCTCTTCTGAAGTGTTGTTTTTGTTTGATAATGCGACATATTTGAACTTTCTGGCATAAAACATGGTTTTCAATTGGATTGTTGAAAACTTGTTATAAAATAACAATCAATGATATTTAATTTGTTTTTTAAGTTATTTATTTAGTTATATATAATAAATCAATAATTTTTGTTTGTTCTAATTATACCATTTAGAGTGAATTTCAACCGGAAAATTTTGCTATATTGGATGTCACATTAACATCACGTAGGATTCAATTAAATTTATCTGATTGAATCCTCCAACGGTGTAACAAGAACCTAAAAAGTTGTTTATTTATGTATTAGATACAATTGAAAGACGAGTGATTCAAAGAACAAATTAAGTGTTGTTGGTTGTTATTTTATGACATTAACCATCTTTTAATCATGTTTTAACTTTTTTAGAACATGTAAACATAAAACAAAAACAAAAACATCAACACGAACTAATTTGGTTTTTAGGCTGAGTTAGAAAGAGCACAAAGTGATCAATTAGCTCAGGAGGCAAGGCTAATACGACAAGCTGAAGCTGCAATGGGCCTACAAACCGAGGAATTTATCTACCATGGACCCAAACTCACAGGTGACCACTTGAACAAAACGGGCTATGGCAATGGCTTAAACAATCGACATGTTGCCGATCACTCGAATGCACGTGAGCATAGTGGCTATGATGGTGCATACGCCACATCCCCGAACCATGATAGCCGAAAGATGGCCATACATCACAAGTGTTTGTAGATTAAAGTCATTTTTGTTTTTATACTAGCTAGGGTTTTTTTTTTTTTTTTTTTTTTTTTTTTTTTTTAATTTATCAAGAGTGTATATTCCAACT